TTTTTGAGACTTTCAGAAACTCACATCCACATGTTTTCTTCCCGAGTGAGTCCTAGCAGTTAGCATGTAAGATTGCAACTGTAGTTTTAGGAGTGATGGATACTTTTTGTAATCACCTGCCAAATATCATTTGAAAGTGATGGTCTGCAAGTGCCTTTCATGCTCTCACAGAGACGCCAAGTATATGCTAGCTACTTCCTAGCTTTGAAAGCTCCTCAGCTGGCAGTTTGTTCTTCATCTTTGTGATTCTGTTTACACCTGATTTCTTCCATGTTACCAGTAGGTGGTCATAGATAGACAGTTCATTGCTTTCATGAAAATGTTAAGATTCAGACAAAGACATGCCAACTAGCTCACTACACTCGCTCGCTATCTTTCAAAGTTACACAAACCAGCTTGTTTTTCCATGCCCTATATTTACTGTGATTTATACTTATAGTTAACACGGATCCGATTGGTTGAAACATATGATTTGAAACTCTCCAAAAGTTGATTCTGTTCATCTGGACGTAGCGTTTTCTCCAGATGAACAGAATCAACTTTTGGAGATTTACTTACCTGGATGATTGAGAATGCATCAAGACATTTGTTTTGAAAGTGCTCGTTCTTTTCTCGTTTTGTCTTTTTAAATGTTTGACTCTCACCTGGTCCAGTATTACTGCTGTAAGAGGGAGGAGTCTGAGAAGGGGGAAGAGGAGGAACCTGAGCTCGCCACCATGTCGCCGTCTCGCCCCCTGGCTCTGTCGGCTCCTCCTACGCCTCCGACGCCAGAGCAATACAGTGACGAGCCCGAGATGTACCCTCCCACTTTCCTCACTGAAGCCAACGGCCCCGTCAGCTACTCACCTCCGCCTCCGCCGCCACGCAGGTGCTATCGCTCGCATGCCTTCTGCCCTTCCTGTGCCCGCTGCTCACTACCCTTCTACTTGCAGCACCCAGAGAGGCTGTGCAATGGCGGTCGCAGGATCAGCTACAGGACTGTGCAGCAGCAGGACATGGAGTTGCCCATGGACTTGGCCAGCTTCTACCAGAAGCTGAACCTCATCCGCCAGGTCACCATGAAGGAAGTAGTCACCCACAGCGTCAGCACCGACGTTTAGGAAAGCAGCACCGCTGATTTAAACGATTCGATACACATTCAATTATTTCAGCACTTTGCTGTCAGTGTTAAACTGATAAATGGCTTTTAGACCAAACGTCAGGGCAGCGATGATGGAAATTCTGCAACGCTAAATGCATCATCGAAACACACGAAGGGACTAATTTCATAAACTGCTCCTTTTATTTGCTGAATAGCTAGGTAAGTAGCTACTTAACATATCTGCTGTCAAAGCATAAACAAGAATCGACAAAAATCAACACAGATTTCATTTGTTTAAATGCACCACACCAGTGCGAACAGAGGAGGTAAGATAAGTCTGGTTGTGTGGATATTAAAGATAATGTCAGACCAAAACCAGCAAGTATTATGTGAGTGTATCAAAGCCTGCTCTCTCTGTCCCACAGAGCTCCACTGTTGTTCCTAAAATAGTTAGATATCTCACTGTTGACCTCGGTGACTTGTTCTTTCATTAGCATGAATGCAAACATTGTAGCATACATAGGCCTAGCCCCGCACACACTGTCCCGCTGTCACAAAAAACCACTGAAGCACCAAATGTAGATTAATCTGTCACTGAAAATAGTCCCCAGCTATTGGTCTGTTAAATCCAATGACTGAGGAAATAATCTTTTCAACAGAGAGTATTTATTTGTATGTAAGCTGTTTTTCAACTCTTACACACTTAGTTTAACTTCAGGTAAAAGCTCATAACTGCACGGACACGGTCTCTTCCTTTGAAAGAATGATCGGGTGTTGAGACCAAGCGCACGGAAAAGTTTTCACGCAGCGATTAAATAGATTCATGCCATAAGAGGCCATGTGTTCAAAAAAAATGTAATTTTTAACAAAAACATATGCGTCACACAGAGTTGAGATTGAGCACTGAAAATCAGAAACAAAAGACATGCTTTTACAAGCTGTAATCAGAACAGCGCAGTTTCATAAAAATCAAAAAGTCTACCCAGTTTTGATTTGGGCTCATATTCAAGTGTATCTCCTTGTGCACCTATGGACTGGTTTCATCCTGGCTTCTATTGTTTTTCATGCAGTGTATGCTGGATCTCCTTCACTGTGCGAAAATGTTGATCTTAAGAGTTCATTTTATTTTGGTGGTAAAAATTCCAGTGAGGCAAATTTGGTGAATGATCGCGTTGCTGTGGAGTTTTCAATGCACTCTGCACTCTGAGCGGACACATCACGGCACATAAAACCACACCACAGACCCTCTGACTGGTCTCCCTCAGACTCCCCATGTTGAATTCATGAACTCGTGATTAATAAACTGAGCAATTCTGCCTTTGAGCAGCTTCTTGGTCATCACCAAGTGCTGATCGCCTTCTTGTGAAATTTGGGTCGGTTTTAAACAAAAGATATTTGACCTCTGCCAAAGTTTAAGGTCACACTGTAAATACCCAAAATGAGATTTCCGTGACAGGGTCTAAAAATCGCAGCTATTCGGACGTGCCTGAGAAGATGATTATGAATGGGAGACTGGCTAGATTGATCACACCTTGTATAAGAGACAGAATTTTTAAAAAAACAGAATGTGCAGAGGAGGAGAAGAGGATGACCACAGAAAATTCCTGGATGTAGTGAAGGAGGACATGCAGAGGGTGGGTGTGACAGAAGAGGATGCTGGGATATGGTGATGATAGAGGCAGATGAGCTGCTGTGGTGACTCCTAAAGGGAGCAGCTGAAAGAAGAAGAAGAAAACGATACGTAAAACTGCATAAAAGCTCAAATAATTTCTCATACAGATTCTGGTTGACTCATATTTGTGTTCATTGGTGTAGCTGTCACACAGGGTCAACACGGGGTTGTTAGTTTTTTGTTTGCCTTCCGACATCAGAGGCTGGAGAGCCAGGCTGTGATATGTCAGTATGTGACTGTTTCAGTACTAACAGAGAAAACTAACATTATTTTAAAGGGCTTTTCTGGAGCATTCAGTGATCCAGTGACTGTGAATTATGAGGGACAACATTTATATCCTGTTAAGACATCATGCTGTAGATAAACGCTGTTCTCCAACTTAGATATTAAGTATTTAATACCTAAAAGAGGAGGAATGAATTGTACATACAGTATTTAAGGGGAAAAGATACAGATATATGTCAAATATTCTTGATGACAGAGCAGTAGATCCAAATTATATTTTACAAATTTTACATCCATAGAGAGAAACAACTCTACAGCTCCTGGACTCATTTCTTCTCCTTTCACAAAACAACACAGATGCTGACACATTTATCGGATCGGAAACTTTGTTTGGAGCAAACTTTCACTCTAGCAACATGTATGATAAAATAGTACGCTGCTAATCAAAAAGGTTTGTTCTCATAGGCTCACAGAGAGACTGGGTGTATTTGCCTGTCTGTCAAACAGTGCACAACCTGCAGTGCTGTGATCTGAAACATATATTTGGAAATCTTTCAGCAGAAGACTTTTACTATATGATGAAAACTTATGAGACTGTATATGCCTATATGTATATCTCCAGCTGCATTGCTGGAGTCTGATATTTTTTGGCCACCTTTTTTGAGCAAGAAGGTAAATCTAACCAAGAGCAAGAACAGACCACACAGTTATACAACCGGAACTTACCAGCCATGCCCTCAATCATACACTGCTTCACAATTCACTCTGAACGAGACCATGATTTAAAATAAACCTCATATTATATCAAATAAATAACGGCTTGAAACTAGTAATAGAAGCTATCAATTCAGGAAAGCACTGTTCTTCACAACCAGAGCAGTTGCTACATGATGGCCATTAAGAAATATGCAGGTTTACTTAGTTTAGTGCAGCATTACTGCAATAAAAAAAACTTAAAACTGGCTGTTTGTACACTGACACAGCTAAACTGACTGCACAGTAGTTCTGTTCAGTTTTTGGTAAACATTAGCAAATGATCCTTCACTTTTCTAACAAGCTTCAAGCCGGATGGATGGTAGAATCACAGCCATGAAGACAAAAACAGAGAGGCACATCATTCAACTCCTGCCCCCTTGTCATAGTGTGGTCTGTGCCAGCTGGTGCTGAAGCCACCATCTTTAGTCAGTGCATTTGGTTTGTTTCTCTCCTCTGCTCGCTGTTTCACTTTGTTTGTGTGAGGTGCTTTTAGTCCTTCAATTCACTGCATCAAAAAATAAATGAACATATATGTGCAGCATCTACACATCTCATACATGGATTATTGTCTCTAAGTTTAATGTCCACAGAAAAACCATGTTCCATACATTATGTATCATATGGTCATCCCATGATTTCTCCATGCAGTCTCCAGAAAGCTGAACATGCTTAGAAAAGATGTCAAGAAAGGTTATATTTTTATTTGGTCGTCCTAAGTAAAGCACTGTCCTCACAGCTCCTTATGATCTGTGTGAGTTTGGGTCATGGATTGCTTCTGCTCATTGAGGAATGACACTATTCAGGGTAAGAGAACATATTTGTGCCACTTAAGGTGTTTTCCGAGATACAGCTGCAGGTTGCTCACTGTGATGACTGCAGAGTTTTTATCCACAGCAGTTCTTCATTTTTTATTTTATTTTTTATTTTTTTAGAAAAGATTGAAACTGTTGCTTTGGTTTTTTGTCTGCTTGATGTGTTTCAATTATCCTGTCAGTGCAGCAGATGAGGCGTTTGGGTCTGTCAAACTGGCCAGCAGGAGGCGTCAGTCACCTCTGCAGCCAAACCTTTGTTTACTGTAGCCGCTCTGTGTGTCAAGTTCATTTACTGTGTTAATAAAATGATGCAAAACTTTGGGGTGTCGGTGTAATTCCCTCCAGAAAAGGACCAAAGCAAAATGTGCATTATTTCATTGACTTGTCTACACCCAAAACAGCTTCAGAGAGGAGAGGGGGGTCTTGGAGAAGAATAAACACAACGTCCTCAGCACCACTTTCACACTTTACGTTACTCTGTATGAAAAAAATAACTACACTTACTCACATATTGTAGTTACAGTATATTAGCCCAGCTAAATTACAGACCATAGACTCAGTTTTAGGACTCTGAACTAGACTAAATTAGAATATGCCACTCCGTCTGCTACAAATGAAACTCTTACACTTTCATGTCATTTAAATTGCAGTTTGCTTTGAGCCCTTGGTCCCAGATTTCTGTGCTGTTTTGGTGTTTGCATTTCTTATTCTTGAAGTGGTTGAGCTTGTGGTTCCTGTTTGCCTTTGTTGTTATTTTTTTACAAGATGTTTGGGTTGTGTGATATTATCTTATTTCTGTGGTCTCTGTGGCGATTTTATTATTATGACAGTCTCCCTGTTTATGCCTCTCTTTGTCTCATCTTCATGCTCAGGCCTAGCTGTTTACTTCCTTACTTTTTACTTCCTGTTTTATTTTTTAAGGTTAGTTTTCTTTCGTGTCTTACATTAATTTTACATTCTGCCCTGATTGTCTTCACCTGTGTTCATTTCTTTTCATCTTTGTCTCTTTGTTCTTCTGTCACGTCCCAATCAGCTCTCAGTGTAAATGTAGCCCTGTTTTCCCTTTTCCTTTGTGATAAGGCATCTGATAGACGGCTCATTTTTGCTTACTGCATGTGGTTTTCTCTCATTTGCTCCTTCGTATAGCTGAACTTTAGTTTATGGTTTGGATCTTTAGCATTTTGCTAAGTAGACCAAAGATCATGGCCTTTGTTTTTAATTTTGACAGCATACTGCATTTGGGTCGTCTATACTGCACAGCCTTGACACATATCTTTGACACCTCCTGTCAAATCCATAAGTATTTGAGATAATAACCCTCAGCCGCTACAGTGGAGTGGCCTATAGACCTGGTCCCTGTACTACGAAGCAAGTTCACATACCCAGGATATCTGGCTTCACTTAACCTAACAATCAGGCTGAGCAGTCAAGGTGGATATCATCTTAATAAGATGAGTGAGTTCACGTGACCTGGAAACATGACGAGAACTCAACACACAACCTGACACTGGACAAAGGAAGACATAGGACTTAAATACACGCAGGAGGTGATCAGGGGAAGTGGAAACACCTGGAGAATTAGCTGCGTAAATATAAGTAAATGAGACTTAAACATAAACAATGAACATCAAAGTATAAGAAAACTCCAAACCCTGGGTCAATTGACCCAGAACCGTGCCATAATATTTGAATATTAATGTGTAAGTTCACAGATTTATCAGTATCACATCATTAAGACACAGGATAATCTGATTGATTATATTTCTTATTACATTAAATGAGAGTTTAGATATATATGTGTGAGGCACAGCTGTCGTGGTGGTGTTTAACGATCTGAGAGAAATAACTAAATAAATAGAATTTAAATGCAGGCTTAATCTGCATGCAAACATGATATGAAGTAAACAAGTAAAAACAGGTGGGAGTCAAGGACAAGGAGACGTGTGCCACAGTGCAGTTCATTCATTCCCAGTTCACATCTTGCTATGATATAGCAACGCAAACAAGCCCAGTAAAGCCTTTCTTTTCAGTTTCAAGTCTTCTGTCATAGCCATCTAAAGATATTAACTCTTCCTAAGATGAAGATTATTTTGGCTCCTCCTGTATTCACAAAAGATGATTTGCAGACTATTCTTTGTGGCAGTTGCCCTTCGTGACACAATTCTATTGGAGATTATTTATCGGAATTTCAGGAGCGGGATCAAACCTCCAAACACACTCCTTCCGGTTGTCATCTGTATAGGTTCCCCCAGTTCTGCAAGCTGTTCATTCTCGTTTGCGTGCCCCACCGTCCCTCCCTCCTTGTTCTCAATTCTTTAACTTCTTCCTTTCTATTTAGTGCATGGGGATCTGTCAGGCCCAAGAGCCATCGCCAGTCCCCTTCCGGCCTTTCCCAAACCGCAGCTCAATTCATGTCAAAGCATTCACTTTTACCTACTAAAACGCTGTCAAACCTAAAATGAAGACGTGGGCCCAGCTAGTGAACAGGAGTTTGGGTCTCCTCCTGAGTTTTAACAGGCACTTGTTAGGTAAATGTGTAAAGCACTACACTACGGGACCAACAGACTAACCTTTCTTAAAGATGTGCGATTGCCCCAGTCTAACTGAGGCTTTGGAGATATTGGCTAACAACAAACTACCATCCTCTGAACTGGCACAATAACTAAAAGTAGCCAGTCCCAGTTGTGTTTTAAGAAAAAGAAATCTTCAAGTCAGACAAGTCTTGTTGTGACTATGTGTTAAAATGTTCCTACAGATTTCTTTCTACAGTTTGTTACTCAAATTAAAAACGCAAAAAATAATGTGGTATCCATTCCTGTAAAGAAAAATATCAAAAAAGTGCAAAAGTTAAACATGAGAGAGGCGAAATGTTTGAACTGTTATTTAATTGAAATACATGTCAGTACCATTAGGTTTTCAGTTTATTATCAACAGTACACAAACTCCATATTTAGTTTTGTACAAAGAGGTATCGGCAATATAAAAACACAGTACACATTAGTTAGACATACACGTACACGTCTTCTGAATACATTTCACCCATACTTCAAGTTTCAGGGATCTCTCTGTCTGTGTTCGGATCAACTCTCTCCTCCTCTGTCACGCACACAGACCAGAGCTGGTATCAGTTGACCTGATGAATAACCATAGACTGGCATCAGGAGCGTCACGCTAAATGAAAATGTTCTATCACTAATAAATATGCTTCCATATCCTGCAGGCACGCCGGTGTGGCGTCAAAAGGCAGGAGACGGAATGGAAATATAAGCTATATATATATTTATATATATTTAATTTTTTTTACTTCCTGTTTGGCCATACCAGACGCTAAAACTGAAACACATTTAAATAATATTTCATAAACAGTATCTGTTTTAAATATTCTACTCATGCAATATCTTCAGTTGAGAAATAATTTAATAGAGCTCTTCCTTGCAGCGATAACAGGAACATGCTGCTAACTGGTGATAGAGGTTTGTGAGACCGCTTTACTGTTGACTCCGTTGTGTCTCCAACTCCGCATGTTGTTTAGCGCAAATTTTCTAAAGGAACTGAAATGATGGACCCATAAATATTCAGTAACAACTGGTACAACAGGGTCTGCAGGGTTAAATATAAAGAAAATAAGAAGAAATATGATAATAAGGGAGAGGCATGCTCTGCTTTATTTTCCCCGAGGGGCTGATAAATGATAAATGAGCCAAAAACGGCGCTTCCTTGGTTCACTACTAGAGGCTGGGTCAAAAAGTGAGTGAGCTCAGGAGCAAATTTAGAGGGCACAACGCTCTGACTGTGAGAACAGAGGCTCCACTCACCTGCTGTTTGTACCTGCTGTTACTGAGATGCTGCCACAAGGGTCTTTATAAGATATGTGAGGATTATTTTGAAATATTACTCATGCAAAGCTACTCTGGTAGAATCTAAAAATACAAATATTGACTGGAAAAGAGCAGAAAGGAACTATTTAATATTTGATCATGCATTGTGTCGGAAATCCTCTCAAAACAAGAAGAAACTAAAATCTTTTTGTAGCATCGAAGCAGAAAAAAGAGACGTTTGTTTACTCGTCCTCATTAATTTCAAAGTGCCTCCCAAAGTGTACATTTCTTTTGTCTAATTTTGTGTGAGAACACTGCAGCTGATGTTGTAACATCAACAGGAACTGACAGGACTTCATTTGAGATCATTTAAACTGACCCATCTAAATCCAAGTTATCTGAGGAACTTCGTCTTTTTAAAAAAGGCTGACTGACATTTATCTTTCCCTCATTATTCACAGTAACTGCTGTACAGCTGAATGTATTTCCTCATGCCGGAGTTGAGAGTCAAGGTGGAGAGAGGCTGCGGCGTCCTCGACTAGGAGGCTGGAGGTCGAACGGAGCGGCAGGAGTGGCAGCAGGCCTTGCTGTAGTACCAGTGGCTACACAGGTTGACCTTAAGAGCTAGCAGGCAGTTGGTGGAGGGCCGATCCTGACAGCTCTCATCTGGGAAACAGTCAGACTCACAATTAGTCCTGGAGGCAACTTTCAAACAGCTGTATACTCCACTATACTGTAGAGTATACTCCACTCTGAGCTGTCTATCTTTCTTCAATACTGCCTCTGCCAAAACTGGCAGACATGAGTAAAAAAAGGCAGCTGGCAGTTCACTTATAACGCCTGCAAGACTCATTAGGAACAGTAGTTAGGAGGGAAGTAGCAGATTCTCTTTGTTGTTACCTGGAGGCTCAGTGGGGCACGGCTGCAGAGTGCAGGTCTGTTTGGCCACTGGTTTGGTGAGGGGGTCACAACCTCGGACCAGCTCCCTGCCCTGGTAACACTTCACGTCCCTCATCCTCACACCGATGCCACATGTCTTGGTGCACTGAAGGCACATGAAGCCAGAAACACAGTCATTAAACACGTCTGTTTTGCTGTTATCCTAATTTATCTTCATTTTGAGAGCTTATTTCACACTCGAAGACTTTCTGTGGAGCTCACCTCAGACCAGGGGGTGGTGTACCATTTGAAGCATGGCCTCTCGAAGCAGGTGTTCTCTTCTTCAGGCTTCTCGTTCCCCACACATGCCTCCTCATCGAAGATCTGGAACTTTCCTCCGCTGATGCCGACGCATTGAACGATCCTCCGTTTCACACCACGACCACAGGTTGTGTTGCACTGCAGTTAAAGGTAAAATCTTTGTAGCATTGTTAACATTAAAAAGGGACTTTGTGCATTTAAAGTTTCTTCATAAAGCTCTGCAAATATTTCATAAAAAATTATATCCTTAGTTTATTTGTCTTGGGGGTTTTTTTTGTTAATAAACAGTCTGAAAAATGCAAAAGTTGCAGTGCAAGTTGGGCCTTTTGTTTTATAGAAGAAATGTTCACCCTGTGAATATATTCAGAACCTAACAGATCTTCCCTGCATATTCATGAAAATGATAACACTATCTCCAAACATGCTTTCCTTTTTGTTTGAACTGTTACCACTGTGTGAAATATTAAATGCTGTTAGATTATTTAAAGAAACCCCATGCTTGTAACAATTCTTTAGCTATTCAGTGACAGGAGAGGAAAGTCTTTCAGAGAACAACAATTAAAGAGTCTTTGGGTGAGCACTGACTGTTTAGGGTGTTGGATAAAAATGTCCCAACATTTGCTGTCTTCTTTATGATTACCGTCTGTTGATATCCTGAATGTGGTCTGTAACTGAGTTGGTACATGTGACTGATACATGTTAAAGTAACATCCACCTGAATGGCAGGAAACCAATAACCTTGTCTGGCTGCCTTCCCTTCTGCACTCACACATACACTTAATGTAAATATCAATCCATTCTCTCCCGCCAGGTCGCCAGTCTGCCGCAGGGCTAACACACAGAGACAGATAACCATTCGCACTCACATTCACACCTATGGGCGATTTAGAGTTCCCAACTAACCTATAGCCACTACTGCATGTCTTTGGACATCTTTAGTGTCTGATTAAGGTTGTCTGATTAAATCTGATTAAGGCGACAGACCTGGTCACCCTAATCCAAACTAAAACCTAACCCTTACAGGCTGCTCTACAAGAGGTAATGATAAGAAAGTTCCATATGCAGCTTTTCAAATGAGTTAGTATTGAAATATAAGATGGCCTGTAAAAAAGGTTTCCAAACAGGGAGACCAAAACCCTAAGCTACTGCAGAGGTGACAGGTTCATATCCATTCCTATATTTTTAAAGGAACAACGCAGGGGGCATCCGGAATTGAACCAGAGACCTCGTGATGTGCAGTCAAATACTCTTCCACTGAGCTACTGCCCATGTCTGACATTTTCCAACAGAAAGCAAATGCAGCACACATAAGGCAGGGATTATAATCTGTTGCAGACATATGCAGACATCACGGGTGAGGAGTCTCTCTGAGTACACTCAAGTCTGCTCAAAACCACCTGAAGGGCAGATGGATAGCTTGTGCACTGACAAATAGTGTCTCAGTGGACAAATGAACTATCACAAAAAATGTGCAGGCAAGCTAACATCTGCACATATCCAAGTCACTCAGACCCAAGCAGACCCTAGCATGCTCACCGAACTGTATGCTTTAATACATGTTAAAACCAGATCCTTAGATCAAGGCTGTTACTGGTAGGTTTAGAATGTAGTAACATTTCTTTAGCAAAAGTTTAAAACTAGAGCGAATTAGAATAAAGCCTTAAATGCATTTAGGTTTATAAAGGAACTATATCTAAGTGTTTTCATGGGATTAGTCAGTATCCATCCAGAGGAAACAGCTGCATGATCTTTACTCATAAACTAGTTAGAATCCTCTTGTAAAGCATAAATTTCTTTCCCCTTCCATAACTCTAGGCACTGGGATTTGAACAAGAGACCTCTTAAAGTGCAATCAAATGGGCTCCCACTGAGCTATAACTCCAGGTCCCCCCCAAACACGTGTGTCATGCTTTTCTGTGATTACAAAAATCACTTAAAATGTGTGTCAGGTCTGCTCGCAGTAACATCTTAATTCAGACAGTGTGTACCCGGGCCTCACCCTCTCCCAGTCTTGACTCAGCCAGTGCGGAGCGCAGTCTCTGTCTCCACAGGGGTGAATGGCTAAGGGCTTGTTCTCTGCTGAGCACTGGTTCTCGGGAACCACGCGACCCTCCGGAGCCTTACAGTACACATGACGCACCATCTTCCCCTGGCCGCACGACCCCGAGCACTGCAACAAACAAAGGTCACGCCCGATGCGTCATTATCAAGCGGGAGCAATTGAGTTCTCATCACAGTTATCTGCAGCCAAGCTTTGTCGCACACAGCGTGAAGTCATTTCAGGTCACCTCACATCATGGAAAATAAAAGATCAGCATGTGAGGCCGTGTTTAGGCAGATGTTAAATAACAACACATGTCACCAGAGTTTAATATTTACTGCAGTTAAAGTAGTTCATCAACAACACAACAGCAAAACCTCACTATGCTGCGCACACTGAGTTTATTATTAAAAACTATATTTGTTGGTCGTGCTGCGATTAAACTTTTAGACCACGCGTGTGTAGCTCAATAAGCAAGTTTTGTAGCAGCATGGCTTTATCCACGTCATTTACATTTACGAGACAGGCGTAATTTCAAACCAATTTCCTTCCAGTACAGAATAAACTTGTAAATCTGAAGACATCAGAAATGAAAAGTTACATCTGGTTACATCTGTTCTCAGTTGGCAAATTTATGAAAAAAAAGATAAACTTTTTTGGCCTTGTGTTGTGAATTGTGATTTTTGCATTTCAAAGTGACAGCTCTTTAGTTTTCTGTGTTTTTCCAAGTCGGAGGCTGCGGTTGTAAATTAGTCCTGCGATTTTCCAGACTTTCACTTTGAATGGAACATCGGCAACTACACCTCGTGTCCGTAACACAATAAAAGCAATAAATTCACACCGTGGCACTTAAAAGACGGCTGGGACAGACGAGCTGTTTTTCCAACAACCATGAAAATGATGGAGGAATGTTAGACGCAGGAAAAATAATTTAAAATAAAAGAAATAGAACGTTTAACTTAGACACGGATTGTAACATTAAAACATAAATTAAGTGTCTTTCCTTTTTTTCACTGTCTGAGATTCCAGCAGGGACGAGAGATAAAATATGCAGATATGGTAAGATTTTAACTCCTCATCACTCATGTTCACTGACACGCAGGTTTGTGTAAAGTAAAAACACTCACGGGTCCCCACTCGGACACAGTCCAGTGGCGTTCGCAGGGAGGACCGGTACAGTTTTTGACGTTCGGCGGTTTGGTCAACGGGTCACATGGTCTGGTCTCATCAGAGCAGCGCACATCGCGGGTTACCTGAGCTTTGCGGCCACATTTAGCAGGACACTGCAATGAGGAAAGAGTCGTTGTCATGAAGAAAATGAAGCACGTTGATTGGTAGAAATGCATTAATTACATTATATTCTTTATTGTTTATCTTTGCTTTGAATAAATATCTTGAAAAGACAGAAGAAAATTATTTCAGAATCAGTAGGAACTTTTATGGGTGGCCTAGGCATCACTTTTAAAGCTTTTTCCTCAAAAATGCACAAAACCACCCCAAAAACATGTTTATTACATTTTCCTAACAGCACCGTTGACTGTTCGTATGTAATGTAAAAGAATGAATGAATGACTGTGGTCATGTCTGCATTGATCCACAAAGAAAAAAAAACATCAGCATGCGTACCCGACATTTCTGTCATTCTCTCTCTGTGTCATTCAACCTCTAACAATCTAACAGAGTCACATTTAGGGTTTTTGGTGTCTGTTAAGTGTTTCTGGAGAATCCATCAGTGACCACAATCTGACCACAAGACTGTAGCACACAGCTGCAGCCCTCAAAGCTTGACAAGAGAACGACAGAGACATCTGCACTGCAAGAAAAAACAAATCCTGCAGAGTGCCGGGGAATGTTTGCACAGAAATCAAATGCAAAAATCCAAGCAAACAAAAAAATATGCAAAGTAAAGATACTCTGTATGTTTTAAAGGGACAGTTCACCTCAAAAGTACATGTCTTTCTTAAGCTTGTAGTGCTATTTATTCAGCTACATCTACTCAACACACAGAAAAGTAAATCAGATTGTTTTAGTATATTAGTACAAGCTCACATTCCTGGTTTATCATACCTCCATCCACTCGGCCACCTCCCACTGTGGGCCGCACGCGGGGCTCTTGCAGGGTCTTCTCTCCACGGGTCTCTCCAGGTCAGCCATGGTGCAGAGGTCACTGTAGACCGAGCTGTCCAAACCCGGCGAGAGCATCTTCCAGCAGCGCACCTGACGAAACTGGAAACCTTCCCCGCAGGTCCTGGAGCACTCGCTCCAACTGCTCGCCTCCCACCTGAAAGATTTGTCCATAATTATCAGAGGAAAAGAAGCAGCCACAGTAATGATCTGTTTATTAAAAGGTTTATGCTCCTCCGGGGGATCGCACCTGGGCTGACATTCTCGGCCAATGCAGAAGTCATGGACCGGCTCTGGTCTGGTCAGAGCGTCGCAATACATATCGTGTACTTCCACGCCATCGTAACGAACACATGTGACAAAGGACCTGGAGACTCCTGGATTGTAGGCAGAGTGAACTGATTTATGCAACACATTTTATATACAAGGGGGAAAAAAGCACAGTGCACACAGAGTATCAAAGTCCTTTCTAAGTGCATTGGATTTCTGTATATTAGTGCAATTCCTGTTTTGTCTTGAAGCTGTACCTATATTGAAAAAAAAGTCCAGTGGAAATCAAAGTGACCACTAGTTCAGATGAAGTCAAGCTCAGCAGGAATCTCAGTAGATCAGCTTATCCTAAACTGATGGCTTAGGTGTTAGCTGTCTGCTAAAAATCTCTATACTGCATGCTATCTGAGATGCTTTCGCCCGTTCGCGGTTTTTACAGGTAAAGTTGCTGTGCTGCTTTCCGGAATTGGAAACACTTATTCATTCATAACATTTGTTCATTAAAAAACAGAGAAAAAACATGAAACATAAAAGTAAGAGCGGGAGAGGAGGTGGGTTGCCATGCAAACCATCTTGCACATGTGCAGCTCCTGTGGACTGGCTAAAACTGGTATATGTTCAAACTGGATGCATAGACAGTACAGCTATCAGCTCACGTGGGCCGACACAGAGATCACCAAATTTTCAGGAATTGGAGTGGAGCTTGAATTTGTGCCCTGGCATAAATTACGTTAATAATAACTTGTTAAATCTATCTTCATTTTAAACAGAAACAGAATGCATTGCATGTCTTACATAGACAATGGGAAAATTACAAATTATATGGAAAGGAACAATCACTTCGCTGCACAGCAAATGCACAGAAAGTTGCTGCACCACACAAGCTCTGTCAGGTTTCAAGAGTCAAAGGTGTTACAGAGACCTGTCAGGTCTGGGATCTTAACTGATATCACACTCTCACTGAACATGGATGTTCTCATGGATGTTTTATGTGTGCTTTGAGTGTTTGCATACCTATGGAGCAGGTCATGCTGCACGGCTCCTGTGATGAAAGTTTCCAGCGGTACAAGTCAGCAGGACTCAGCTTCAGGTTCTTCTGGTAGAGCCGCTGATTCCCCCTGTCACGCACAAAGGACACAGGTCAGTTGTGTGTGTTTGAGTATGCAACTGCAGCATGCTATGCAGATGCAGTTCCTATGAATCCTCAACCTGCAGATATCAAGTTTTCAGGGCAACATTTTAAGAGCACGTCTTCAAACCGGGTAATTTGAATGAAATATCCTTTTCAGGACTTTTAAGAATACCCAGGAGTAAACACACAAACACCCACACAGAGGCAGGCTGTCTCCCAGGCCTCAGACAAGCACAGCATGACAGCTGATTCACAGCCCGCATCCCGGCAGACGCACTTTGTTTTTTCACCACATCACATAAAAGTCATGCACACATTCCTGTCATAACAGTCGTTCCCAGACATTTATCTGAAAATTGGAGACACGTTGAGTTATACCTCACCGGCATCCCTCCATGTAAGCCAGACCAAATCCTGTCCATTATTTTCTCACCAGAAGTGATGGCAGCCTGACAGCGGAACACGTTCCCCTCTGCATCATATTCTCACTTTTCTTGCAAATACCTTGAATTATTTGTTTCTAAGCACGGCTGCATTTCCCACCTCCTCCACCTTCCTCCCCTCTGTGTTGCTCTGCTCCGCTCGTTTCCTCTCCTGTCTCTGTCTCCCTGAGGAAAGGGCGTGTCACTGTATGTTTTATAGCTGCTGGCTGCAGAACGGGTGAAGCCAACATGAATTATAAATATGACGAATGCAAAACCTGCCAAGTCTACCTGTCGGCCTGTCCTGCAGCATATATCTGCCTGACTGCTGTACTGACCGTATATCTACTTGTCTGTCTGCATTGCTTCCTTGTATAGTACTGGTCCACCTGCTTTTCTGCCAATTGGTCTACCTGTCTGGCTGATTTACTGCCTGCACTGTTTATCTATGTGTCTTCCTGCTTTGCTGCTTGTCAGTTAACATGGCTGTTTTTTCTTGCAACCAGTACAGTGTACATTGTGTATATTGTCTCATCTAACTGCCTAGCTACATGCACATGTGCCTGATTACCTCTCTAAGTGTACGTCTGTCTTTCTACCTGCGTTACACTGACTACCTGTTATTTTGGCAAAGCTGTCTGTTCCACTAGCACTCTCACTTTGAACCTTTTTCTTGCCGTCAGTCTTGTCTCAATGTGACACTCTGTGTCTCTGCCTGGACATCTCTTTAAAAGCGCCCATTTCTCTCAGCCTGCTTCTCTTTAGCCTGCAGCCAGAATCAAGTCCAGAGGTTTGACAGTGTGTGAACAGTCTGAACACTTGCAGTCCAGACTTCATCTGATTTGAGATGAAATGTCTTTATGTGAGCCCAAACCTGAACCTGTGAACAACGGGCTTCTGCTCTGCATCATATGCGATGCTGATGTCCCTTATGCTCTTTTTACATTACCTGGTTCTGTTGGAGCGGTTGGAAGTCCTCCCGCCGCTCGGCACCGTCCTGTTCTGGCTGTCTCCGCTGTCGTTGCGTTTCTGGCCCAGAGTAAACTCGAGTGTATCGTTTAGATCATCTCGCTCCAGGCTGCTCAGACCCACTTCTGCTGGTCCCACCTCAGAAGAGAACAAACTGTCTCCCTCGGTCAGCAGCTGGTTGGTCGAAATGTTGATAAGTAACTCATCTGCACCAATTCGGCCGTCCATCAGGACCCTCCAGATGAGGTTTGGGGAATCGGGTGGTGTATCCAGGCCCGCACCATCAGTAACAGGTTTGGCAGTGCTGTCTATTTGGCTGCTGTTACCTTCACACAAAGTCAACAAATTCAGCTCTGCTTATGATGGAAGTCATTACAAGTTATCTGAATAAAGCATTTCATAAAAGTATATTTAAAAAAAAAAAACAGGAAACACTAAAATCACCAACAAAACCTGTGATTTTCTGGAATCTGGAGAAATCTCTGCATGGAAAGAACAAGGCTGAAAACGTGTAAGGGTGTCAAACATAAGTCCTGGGGGCCAAAATTGGGACCAGAAAACTTCTAAACCAGTCCAGTGGATTGCTTTGGAAAATGTGAGAGAGGACATGCTCTTTGGACTTTAAACTGTATTTTTCTATTTATTTTTGTAGGTATTTTTATTTATTTTTTTACTTTTATAGCTTTTCCTAATGATAAAGACCTGAACCATGGCCACCATGTATGTCTGTGCTTTACCTTGTGACTAGTTACAGAGAGCTGTGCTGGCAGATTTCTTTTATTTACTAAAGCAGAATCTTTTAACATGTAGAGAAAGTGAGTAAAAACTCAGTGAGTAAAAACAGAGAGTGAAAACACGAACGAGCGGTTTCAGTCGGAGCGCAGCATCTTGTCCGTAGTATGATGTCGACTGGAGTAAAAAGTGTACGGCGAGCCTTTCACCACCGCCCCCTCTCCCTGAAGCAGTGGTGTAATGGCCTCAGCAGTCAGCTGAATGAGCTGAGAGCCCTCAGGAAGTGCCATTACTGCTCATGTTTGTGATGCTGCCTTTCTTAAAAGAAGAAAACGCCACAAAACTCTGAATTTTTCATCTGCTGCTGATTGTTTTTATCTAGCCGTATCATGCATAATACAGAGTTGCAAAGGGCCATCTTACACACATCCAGAATAAGGCAGTAAGATGGAGGGTGGTGCTACCTGGCTTAGGATCCATCATCTGTCTTACAGTCATCTTATATCAGAACTTATTTTTTATATTGCTTTATATGCCCTAAGCTACACTTCCAGGAGGTAGAAAGGTAAAGGAAATTTTTCTCTAAAAATGTGCATGTAAATTGTATGTATTAGTGTAATAGTTTATAGAGAACTTGTCACATAATCTCTACCTGTAAACTTTGGGGCAGCTACTCCATCTTCACAGTCGATGGCTGCTGTCTCCTCATACACCTCGTTGGTCTCTTTGCCCTTCTGCCCATCTGTACCTTCTGTCTCCACCTGGCCCCCAGGAGCCACCTGGTCACAGATGCTGCCATTGGGGGTCAGTAGACCACTCACTTCTACAGACACCTCTCCAGCTGAGGTGTCTGACCCGGTGTAGACCGGAGGAGGAGGAACGGGTGGCAGGGAGTCTCGGAGGACTGTGTATTCGTAGGTGATGTAAGGTGTGCGGCCATTTTGGTTCCACACCTGTCAGATGAGGAGAGTAAATCGAAGATGTTTATGGAGTCACAAAACAAAAACTATAATTAGACCAACTCAAGGTGGTCTCAGAGATGGACTCAAACATTCAGACAGAAAATGTTTGGTTTAATTAAATTTTTTTATATAACTGTTGCCTCAAGGATGAATGTGTTGGCAGTCTCCCCTGCTACGGTGAAAAAAAAACATGCCGTCAGTCTGAATCAGCGGGACCTTTAGCCCATAGCTAGCTAATAAAAACAGGCCATTACAGCAAATATCCCTACATTTCTATCATATAAAGGCTTTTGTGAAATATTGTGTAACGATTTTTAATGGGGATTAAAAATGAGAATTTGTGATATGTGAAGTCAGTATATACAGTCATATGAACAAGAAAGATTTCACATGTTTTCAGTTTTCAGTTTGATCCGACTGTTTGTGCAGCTTTTCGGCTGTCCAGCATCTCTCTGCATTGCTATCTCCTCGGTCCCAGCGACCTCCCAATAAAAGAAGCTGATCAACCCAAGCTGCTCTGCCAGCCTCCTGACACCCCCTGAACCCACTGCACCACGACTCCTGTGCAGCAGAACTGCAGACCACACCTCCACCACAACAACATTGATTCATTATGTTTTGTGTGTGATTGTCTATGCTCAGCTCTCTTAGGGTCCCGTCAAAGACACGAGGTCTGTACTGGGCCATTGCGAAACATTGATTCTTTTCTTTTTCAGCCATTCTGTTGTAGACTTGGTGCTGTACATGAGATCATTGTTATGCTGCATGACCTAGTTTTGGCTTAAGCTGTCGGACTGAAGGCCTCATTTCTGGCTGTCATGGGCAAGTTCATGGGCAACAATGCAAGATGCCCAGGTCCTGAGGCCACAAATCCCAAATTATGACCCCTCCACCACCATGCTTACAGTTGGCATGAGGTGTTTGTTCTGGTATGCCGTATATGCTTTTCTTCAAATGTGGCTCTTTGCAGTATGGCCAAACTTCTCCATTTGGCCTCCAAATTGCTCCAGAAGTATTGTGGTTCATTCATAAGAGACTTGACGAACCTGAGCCGTGTTGCAATTTTTCCTTCAGAGAGGTTTGGGCTCTCATATGCTCTTGCATATTCAAAAATTTTCATCTTAAAATTGCTAACTGGTCACCGATTGAACCAACACAATAAATGTTCACAATGAAAATTCATAGTTCTTTTTGTGCACAGGTTTGAAATTCATAGGTGTTGTCTGTGCACATCTGCACTTTCCAAGGTGAAAGCATCGATTTCATGTTGGTTTTTTATGGATGAAGCCACAGTACTTTAACTTTGCACCATGGCAGCAGCGTGGTTTCCACAAGCTACAAACAACAAGACTTAAATCATGGAATTCAAGAGTAAAGGAGGAAAGGGTAATGTGTACCAGAATATTGATGGGTTGGTCAATGGGGCCTTTGGCAACAATGTACTCGATACCAGTCTCATACACGTCCATAGGTCGGCGGTATTTAAAGACGGTGCCTGCTGCATGGAAATTCTGTGGACTGTCCACCTTGTAGTCACCGTTAAAGAAGAAGTTTCCTGCCTGATCAGTCACAGCTTTAGGAGGGGGAGAAGCAGAATTAAGAGAACTTTAAAACAGTTCTTTGCTTTCTTTTTACACACTGCAATAATATTTGTGTGTGTGCGTGGGGGGGTATATACCGAGAACATCAGCCAATTTCTTCCTCTCGATGATCTGTATGTCCCAGGAGCCTTCAGGGATTTGAGTTATAAAAGAGTAACCTGCATGACAGCAAAGAGAAAGTCATCAGCAACATGGCATGCTCTTTGTTTATTTAACAGTAATGACAGATCGGTCAGTTTTTAATTCAGTGTCTGGTCCTGTCCTAGTTATATTAGGCCATGCTACACTGTAATAATAGTTTTTGAATATGCATTAGGTAACTGAACTGCGAGGTTTACCCAGAGTCGAGGGTCCTCGACGGAAGTTTCCCGTGACTCGGCTGCAGCTGCTGCCGTCACCCTGACAGACACCACACTTATCCAAAGTGTTGGAGGAGAACAGTACCCCATCACATCCAATTGGCTGAGCAGCAAGGCAAGATGTGGGAGTACAGAAGACAAAGAATCGTACTAAACATGTGATAATAATTAGCTCGCTTACCACAATTGTTTTGGGAAGGTTATCCAGAAGAATTTACTGTGCACAAAAGTATCATGTGTAAAAATGGTACTACTGAAAGATTTAGCTTCTTCATTGCGTCTTCATGTTTTGTTTTATCTACACATTGTAACTCCTGGGGATTTTCCAATTATTGTCTCAACCTTAATGAGAAAAAAAACCATAGTTCCTCATGCTGCATTGAAGGTGTCTGTATCTTTATTGTACTGCATCTAAACAATGTTTCAAAGCAATGTAAAACCTGTGCTTCCTGAAGTGTCCGCTTGAGGCTGGCTCCTAATCCCCACAGATCTTAACATACCTAACTTTGTCTATGTGATTAACACATTTACAGTCTGAAACAAAATACAGTTTCGGTCTGTAAAGCTAATTTCCGCCCTGTTCTCTTCCACTTATCCAGTGCAGGGTCACAAGGGTGCTAGGAACTATCCACGCTGTCATACAGTGAGAGGCAAAGTACACCCTGGCAATTTAACCTAATCCCACCAATTACATGCTTTTGGACTATGGGAGGAGGCCAGAGGACGCAGAGAGAACCGACATAAACACCAAGAAATATGTGACCTCCGCATCCTCCAGATGATGGATTTGAACCCAGTGCTCTCTTGGTGTAATGTTCATTATAGAGTGCAGAAACCAACAACTGACGTGATGCTACATCCTGCAGTGTGGCTCGGCAATAAATACAAATAATGTTGTGTTAAATTTGATTGGGAGACATTAGCATTTAGTGATGCCAAATAAATAAGAAGCTGGACTCACCTCACACTTACCGTCCACGCAGACGCCGCGGTAGCTGCTGTACTTGCAGGACGTGCCGTCTCGTGCCATCACCATCAGCTGCCTCTGGCCGTCGGTCGTGGTGCAGTGGAGGTCACAGGGATTGCTGGAGATATGAACGTAGTCATCTGGAGACAAATGGTAGATGTTTTTCACTGTTTTATACCCACTTAAATTCGCAAGGTCAGACTGCATACTGCATATTCCTAATAACTTCCGGCAATGTTATACAATTATTCTTTAGTCACAACTGTTCATTTCTTTACTACTGTACTCACACTGCATCATAGTGGTACAAATATATGCTGGTATATACCAGTATGATGTATATAAATAATATACAATTATTTCAATTATAGTTTCATTATGAGGACTCAAAGCAACATCAACTCTCACTGGTTTTGTAACCTGATGAATCTAAGTAATACTTTTACTCCTTTTTTCTCAGGTTTGGTTTCCATTAATCAATAATAATAAAAAACGCAAATCGGATTCTTTAACTAGTCCTCAACAATTAGTCATGAATTTATCTGCCATCATACTGTTCATATCCTGGTTTCAAGTTCTCACGTTTCCTGTTTTATTTTGAAACATCTCAAACTGTTTTCATTCTTGTTAATTTTGCTTCTACTTCCCAAGCTTGCCTCAGTCCTGCTGTAGTAAGTCTGAGACTGTCTATCGCGTTACCCTCTGTTCCAATAAATTAGGCCGTGCCTGTTAGATCCTACAAGGCCATTATAAAAGTAGCTTTTTTGAAGGAAATGCTAAGGCATCTCAAATGTGCATTATTTTTAAACACCACCAGAGGGCGATAGCTCAAGTTGCAAAAACACTACTGGTCCTATAGGAGTCTTTAGGAAAACGGCCCTTTGCTGGTGTTTCTGTAAACACTTTCCTGCTAAGTTTATGGGCTCAGTCACTCATTTCAGGTCGTATGAATAAAACATCAAGTCCATTTTATAAATCTTGGTCATTCTAAGTTTCAGTATGCTCCACCCCTAAATCACATCCAGGTTCAAAACACCAGGATACCAACTGCGGTAATGTCACGTCTTTTTCAGTGTCTGCTGGTCCCACCTCAGCTACAGTAACTGATCAGAGTTGGAACTCTTGACCGCTCTTTCTGGAGCATTTTCATGGCTGGTGTGATGAATTTTCAGATGTGCTGCAGTTTCACTTAAGAAATTCTGTGATTTTGTTCATTAAAATGCTTCGTAGCACTAATTGGCCAGTGTCTGTGTGACGCTCCCAAGCAGTCTATAAATGCACTAACAACGATAGCATTGACTAATGCCTTAGCACTTGACCTGGTCATCCACTATCAGCACATCAAAATCAAAGAGGCCAAGTCCATCTTTTATATGCAGTTAAAACCACTTTATCAGAAGATATACAAAGTTTGTTACTTTGGTTTCTGGTTGTGTTGAAGACTAGCAGGTCATAGAGAAGAATTCCCTCATCACTGCACTATTTAAAGAGAGGCTGTCAAGGTTTTTTATTGGTGTTATTACCGGGATATAGAGGTTTCCACTGATAGTTCCTCCCATTATAACGTTGTGAGTTAAAGGACCAACATTGCTCCTCTCTGAAGCTCCTCCCAGTGGGAGGACATTCCTGCAGAGAAGAGACACAACACAGACCATTTAAAGAGGTTTGTTTCACACTTGTTAATATGTGGTTTTACGGTATGCTATACAAATAAATTCTTGTTAAGCCTTTATTTGTGCAGAGGTGGTTTCTGAGAGTACACTGTTGGGAACTCCACCCAGCTCCATGACAGCCATCCTGTTCAGTCAGCCAGTCAAATCCACCGTGTTTGTTTTAATAAAGGTGTGAGACAAAAATGAACTGGAAGTGTGGGACTCACTTTGGTGTTGCAGAGATGATATTTCTTAGCAGTTCCCGTACAGGTCATGTTGTCCTTCCCAGCAGCAGCTTTCTTTCTTTGGACCGAAAACAAACATTGAATGAAAAAAAAATAAGGCAATAAAAATCATACTGAGTAGAAAACACAGTAGAAATATATCAGCATTGTTCATGTCTGTTAGCTAAGCATAAATACATTTCACCCCAAACTTATCACTCTAAACTGAGAGACTATATAGTAGGTAGCATTGAAACTGTTGACTGTCAGGTTCTACTCAAAATGAACCTATGTAGGTCTTTTATTGGAGTATAGCGCTTTGGGGTCCTTAGGGACTTGTAAAGCGCTATACAAATACAGGCCATTTACCATTTTATATACACTTCATTGGGTACACCTTGGTGGGGAAGAGATTTGGGCCCATATTGACATGGTAGCATCAAAGAATAGCTTCATATTTGTTGAGAGCAGATCCAAGATGTGAATGTTTCATTGCGCCACATCTCAAATGTGCTCTATTGGAGTGAGATCTGGTGACTCTGGAAGTCATTTGAGTACAGTAAGCACATTCTCCTGTTCAGGAAAGCAGTTTGAGATGATTTGAGCTTTGTGACATGGCAAGTTATCAGCAACAATATTCAGACTATAAGATTTTAAATTATGCTTAGTTGATATTAAGGGGAAAAAAATATCCCCCACATAACTGAACCACCACTAGAAATCTGACTTACTACTAACAAGAAGGCAGGATGGTTGAACGCTTCTGTGTTGGTTGTGCCAAATTCTCACCCAAGCGCTCAAAAAAGTGAACGTTTTTCTAGTTTCCCGGTTTTAGCTGACAGGAGTGGCACCTGGTGTGGTCCTCTGGTGCTGTAGCTCATCTGCTTCAAGGTACAACAAGTGTGCATTCAGAAATGCTCTTCTTCATAGCTTTGTTGTGTTGAGTTACTGTTGCCTTCCTATCACTTCAAAGCAGTCTGGCCATTCGCCTCTCACCTCTGGCACGAAGGAGGCATTTTCAGCCAGAAGTTATAGTTTCTGTTTCCTCTTCTCAAATTTCCTACATTTTACTGTGAGCTCATTGAATTAGAACATGCACAACTGGCACACATTACTATTAATGTTTCTGCATGAATATGTACTTTAATGCGTTCCTGTTACTGCCATTAAAACACGAGAGTCTAAAAATAAGTTGATCTGCATCTTTGCTTCATGTGCATCTTTGCTGATTTGATGAAAGCCAATTAGGATTGGGCTAACTGGAATTTCATCAAGTCAGCAAAGAGGCACAGAAAAGAAGATCAGACACCAGCTAGGGAGGAATAGAAAAACAAGCGCAACAACATTGTCATCCTCTATGTAGCCGGTGTATCAGAAAAACTCAGGCGAGTCTTCTCCAAGCACGACATCCCAGTGCATTTTAGACCCAGCAACACACTCACACCAAAAATGGTTCATCCCAAAGACAAAACTCCAAAACACAAACTTAACAATGTGGTGTGTGCTGTACAGTGCAGCGAGGAATGCCCAGACCTCTACATTGGAGAGACCAAACAGCCACTTCATAAATGCATGGCACAACATAGAAGAGCCACCTCCACAGGACAAGACTCGGCGGTCCATCTGCATCTAAAGGATAAAGGACACTCTTTCGAGGATGCCAGTGTTCATATTTTGGACAGAGAAGACAGATGGTTTGAAAGAGGAGTGAAAGAAGCCATTTATGTCCACTGTGAGTGACCATCTTTGAACAGAGGTGGTGGTTTACGACACCAACTGTCTGCCATCTATAATCCAGTTTTGAGATCCCTTCCCAGACGCCTTAACGCCCACTAACACCCTGGGCCATTTGACCTCAGGAAATCACATGATAGGGTGGGTCCAGGTTTCACAATGAGCTCACCCAAAACCTTGGCTGATTGTAACCTACACCAGTTTTCACACCTTGGCTCATGTGATTAGGTAGAGGATCATCAGGGGGTCCTTTGTCCCTCTTCAGATGAAGCTTGTTCAGAGGGGACGCTCCCACTCTGAACAAGCTTCATCTGAACAAGCTTCTCAGATGAGAGGTGAAATGTCTTCGAGCAATTTAAAAAAGTCCAGACGCTTTTCTTTCCAAGCTCCTTAGACCAGTCAGCTTTACAGTCACAAAGAGCACCTTATAGGACAGTCTGCCTACAAAGAAAAATCAACTGGAGCTCACAGTAGAAAAATTTGGAAGTTTATTGGAGGCAAGTAATTTTCCCCTCTGCGGTGATCTTAGGCCAAATCCCACTTTAACTGCTGACTGTATGTAAAATACCATGAACAGTATTAAACAGGGTTGGAGATGTGTCCATTTCTGGGATATTTTAGCTTGTCGTCTGGTGCAGACTGACTGACCTCTGTTTGAGGCAGTGACGCTCCTGTGACATCACTCCTCCTCCACAGGTACGAGTGCATGCTGTCCACTTGGCCCATTCCCCCCACCAGTATGTGGTCACCTCGAGCTGCTCCTCCAGACTGTTGGAGGCCACTCCGTCCTCCTACACACACACACACACACACACACACACACACACACACACACACACACACAAACTTTACTACTTAACACTGCTTAACCAGCCAATGTAGTAGTGCCTTTGTTTCGTGTTAATACTCTTAAAGATGCCATATGGTTTTTATTTTAAAAACTGTTTTATAAAGCAGCTGGCCGAGGTCTTCCTCAGTGCCATTTGGGTTCCTCTCCAGTGAACCAAAGATGGATTGTAGCCTTGATGAACTTGGCCTAGCAGGAGAATAACCTCGTCTCCCATTTACTACTCATATCTTCTCTAACTGTAAACTTTCGAATTTGTAAATAAATTTGATCAAACTTTCTTTGCAGCACAGGAAGTCACATTATCAAATTTATTTGAAACATGCAAATTTCAATCCATAAAAGGGGGTATTTCATTTGTTGCATTTAGCTCAGAATTGCAAATTCCTGATTGTACTCTAAAACTGACATGATCAAGTAAACTTCACTGTAGGCTAATGGGCTAATAATTTGCTAAACCTTTTGATATTCTGGGCATCTGCCACTAGTGCTAGCACTCGCTGTGGAATATTGACACAAGCAAAAGTGGCAGAAAAAGCAGAAGCAGCATTAGCAGCTGTCATAGCATTAATGCTAGTGGTATAAAAACAGAGTTAGCACAACAGCGTGCGTCACAGTCGAGCAGAATCACGCTAAATGATCGTCAGAGTGTTTTGTGCTGAGGCTTTGGCTCGTGAAGATGTTCAGCATTTCACACATTCCTGATGTGCACCAGCAGCATTAACTGAGGCCGGTGGCTGTGTCGCCTTTTATTCAGACAGATTTATCAGAGTGACCGCTGGAATGTGCACTGAGCACCTTGAAAAGGTGTGAGATGGAGCAGCTGTGGGAGAGAGAGAGAGAGTGAGAGACACTGGAAATACCAGACACTCAGCATATGTGAAAGAGAATGGGAGATGGGCAAGAGTTAGAGTAGAGGGAGCTGAGAGGAGTCATTGATCGGTGGGCTGACAGATCAGTTTTACGGCCGTTCACCAAACTGCTTAAATTACTGAGTATTTGGTATTTTAGACTTTTATGTCTTTTAGTTTCAGCTCAGTTGGTTTAAATTGATTTGTTTTGCTTTGTTGGTGCATTCTGTCACTCTTTAATTTTCGCTCTCAGAGAAAGAAGTGATATTTCTCAGTCTGGCCATCCTATTAAGATCAATTTAGTTTGAACATGGCATTTTACAGTACGCTACCTCTGACACCAGGTTTGTTTAATGTGACTACTCATGACTGATAGCAATGGTTCATGTACAGTGGATATATAGCATGTATATGGTGCACATGAGCCTACATTAACTTAACTGGTCATAAAGACTGTTTTCAGTGGCTTTCAGTTTAAACACGATGTCATGGTTTTACTTTTAGTGGCTTTATTTCTGGGGAGGAATATTGTTTATCAGAAATCCGATCATTCAAATTGTCAGAGTTCATAATTTTTTTTTTAAACCCCAATATCATATTTTAAAGGCTAATTCTATGTACTTACTAATGTAGTTTCTTTAGGAGTTGCAAAAAGCTCATACTATAATGAAAAGCGTAAGCTTTGTTCTGTAATGAATTATGTCAAATATGAAGTACACGCCATAGGTGGACCTGGCCACTGTGGTCATTTTGAAGCCTCTTTCCCTGTTGCTATGTTGCTTCTTGGAGCCCAAAGTTATCATATTTGGACAGAGGCTGGAGTTGTCAGTTCACCCCAGAAAGCTTGATTAACAAGCTATATTCAAAATTAGGAGAAACTTACTGGACAGTCTGCACCACATAGCATGTCCTGTTTAGTGACTCTTATTAGAGGAGGTTAGGCTACAGCTGCCTGTCTCAATCAAAGCCGAAATCTCAAGATTTAGATTTTTTTTTAAATTCACCCCTGTATAATTTTTATTAAGCTAAAAGTCATCGAGATCAAAGCTGTTCTTTGTACCTGACTGTAAACATGCATTTCAGTGCTGCAAAGTTTTTCGTTTTAACGTGGACATCTACAGTGACTGACTTGTATTTGAGCCACCCTCAAGTGGCCACTGTGGGTAATGCAGTTTTTGACACTTCTACGTCAGCTTAATTTCTGCCCACGAGGTTTCTACTTTGTATAAACATAAATTCGCCAACTAAAAGTTCTATTTTCTCATCTCCCTTAGAGATATCATACGATCATCCATCATTCATCCTCAAACTGATTTTGCTTCCTATGTGTCAGGCTTATTGTTCAGCACATGTTGAAGGTTCTAAAGCACCAGATACAACACATAAAATAATTTTTACCTGTTTTAACAGGTTTTAGTTACCACATCAAGACATGAGCATTCAGTACAGTGATGTTTATTCCCATTGAAGTATAAGTAATGTTTCTGAAGACTGAACATTTACTAGTTGTAGTTCTACAGCTTTGGATTACTGACAATCTTGCCTTCATATGCAGTGTTACAGTGCTCACTCAGTCACTGCAGCAGAGGCAGACAGTATAAACATAGTCCTCTTTGGTCTAGGACTACGCCTCATCCATCTCGGAGAGTCCTAAAGTTCTTGCTAGACAAAATGTGCTTCAGTTTGTCCGAGTGTAATGTTTCCCTGTAACAGAGGAAGAGTGTTTTCCTGTTTGCTGTGTACCTGCAGCCCCCTGGTGGACAGGTTTCCCAAACACATCGTCAGCGTCAGGAAGCCCAGCAGAACCACGCCTGTCTCCCCACACTGTTCCCATGACCACACCCTCATCCTGATGAATGAGAGAGAGGAAAGGATAAAAGAAATAAAAATAAGTTTTAAATGTCAACAAAAATATCTTGAGGTTTATGAGACAGCAGCCCTGATGCTGTGATTAATGAAGGGTATTTGGGTAAAAACCTGTCTCTGAATGGAAGCAGCCAGAGATGTGTGTTTAACAAAGGTGGAAGAGTTTGAAGGGAAATCTGATGACCGCTAATGACTTCTTGTGGCCAACCACTTAGGCGAGCTTTGGATGCTGAGACATGTGGGTGTTTTTTCACTCTAAATTGAGGCTTCTCAGCTTCCAGACTCTCAGAAGGGTTTGAAGTGGGACACATTTGTGGTCATAATATTTCCTTTCTGACTCTGCAGTGAAACCCCTCACCTCTCACATCTGTAGTTGTTTAGCTGAACATAAGTGCTGCTGCTGTCTTTTACCTTTGCAGAGAGTGGAGGGTGTTTTACAAGAAATCACATAATTGCTGATCCAAGATTCAAGAGAGCACTGGAGCAATTACGGGAGTGGTGTCAAACAGCAGATACACAATAGACACGCAACAATGTGCAGAAGAGCACCATTGGCACTAAAATATTCTGTCAATCCTATTTTAAAAAGTGAAGATCTTGCAAAGATTTCATTGTGGCAGTCCTATTTGATGATTAGAAATATTTATGCCAATTCAAGAAATACGGTTACATAATGAAGCAGCTACGGAGGTAAAAGGTCCTGGAGTTGATTTAAAATGTTGCATTTGCAAAGGTGATCTCAGTGCAAATAAAATCGTTTCCTTTTTTGTGCTTTAGTAGCACAAAAAAGCAAAAGCAAAACATTAATAAGAAACAAATTCATCGGAGAGTTACATTAAGCGAGGTCAAATCAGTAATTCTAGAATGACCTCTGTAATACAAAACTGCCTGGATGCAAACATAGATCAGCAGTGAAGGATGATCACGGGATTGTTTCCACTGTAGAGAAAAATTACCGTTGCGATATCCAGCCAAGAGATTAACACACTTCAAGAGGAACACATATTATTATTTTACTGTAACATAAAAACAAGACGTCATGCAAAAGACAAAGGGGGATCATCAAAAGCCACAAATCATTCATCAGCCTCAAGAACTGAAAGAGTTAGATTAGATTTTTTAACATAAAACAGCTACAAAAAAATCCCATCAGTTTTTTTAATTACTTCATGATTATTTAGTTTCAATTAGAGCATTACGCAAGATGATTCTTACCACTGGAGAGGACAGGATTAACCTGTGCTGTCATCTTTCTCAAGATGTTTCAGGCTGTTTTCATAACTTTCTATAATTTCTATAGGACTCATTTTTTAATAAACTAAACAGAGTTAAAGGTTAACTGCCATTATTTTCTTAATTGCATGAAAGTATCTAAAAGATCATCTGATTCAGGTGAAGTCTGCTTTGAATAATCCAGTACGTTATGCACAGTCAGGTTTCCGAGCACGTCAGACAAATGCAGACAAAACAATGGCAAGCAAAGAGCATTTTCTCAGATAATGCACGCTGGTTTTGGTGTACCAGCTGTAGGTATCCAAATGTGTTGGCAGTCTGTGGAGACTAGCGTTGGCAGGTGGAGAGTGGCACAGACAGGCTGTTGAGGGCCACAGGTGTTGGAGACGGGAGTTGGACAGCACAGAGGCCAACGTAAAACTTAAACAAGTCCCGATGTGCTGGAAGGATGAAGGTAAGTTTCCTAGGACTTTACACAGGTAGGTCTTTGTTCAGCTGTTCAGACTATAAGGAAATGTAGATGTCTGTATGTAGAGGCTAACATAAACATGTACAGACATACAGGAAAAGGAGGGTACTCAAAGGACTCTGCAGTTGTATATATGAGTTTGAGGAGTGTAAGAGTCAATACTTAATTGTTGAAAGGGACACAGAAGAGGTAAATGCTCCCGTTTCAATGCACAGAAATTAATTCCTGCAACATATCCCAGTTTTCTTTTGTTCATTCGAACATTGCAGCCACATACCTTTAACTTAGCACTGTTTGCCGATTACTTTTATCACACCAAACTGTAGTGCTGATTCAAGAGCAGATACATTTTATTTGTAGACTATCATCCATTAGCTACATTTTTCACAAGAAAAGATACAGGAGAATTTGGAGGAAGGATAGTTACATTAGTGAGTAAGCTGCAGAAAGGTGCAATGAAGAAAGGGGTTCAGCAAGCTGCCCATACCTGAGGCCTTGGAAACTGCCAAGCAAAGACTCACAGCCTTGACCAGTTGCTTGAGCAATACTGGAAGAGCAACTGGTAGAAGGACACAACACATGAGCCAGTAACCATAATAGTGGCAGACATCCGAGAAAGGGTCTCCAGTATGAAGAACTGGACAGCACCATGCCCCGACATGATTCACGCCAACTGGCTGAAGAAGCTGACTGTACTCCATAAGCGTCTGGCCACATAAATAAACCAGTTACTAATCAACGAGAGACACCTGGAATGGATAACAGACGGCCGGACAGTCCAGATCACCAAGGATCCCCAGAAGGGACCAGTTCCATCCAACTATCAGCCAAAACACCAGCTACTGGTAGACAGAACAGTCGCTCAAGATTGGAAGACTAGGCTCACTAGGCACACCACCTAGTGAGCCCACACATTGACCCTGGAATGCCTAGAGCTATACAAGATCAACATTACCCTAAGAGCCTTCATCAGGAATTCAATGGGGATGTTGCGTACAACACTAGACAACTTCAAATCTATAGCACAGGTCACCATGTAGTGTGGGATCTACCAAGGAAATGCTCTGTCCCCACTGCTCTTCTCCAAAACTCTGAACCCCCTCAGTGAGATCATTAACAAGACTGGCTACAGATACAGACTATGGAATAGAGCAATCATCAGCTACCTCCTCTACATGGATGACATCAAGCTGCATGCCAAGAGTGAATGAGACATCGATTTACTCATCAACATCACTTGGACATGAAGCAATGACATCGGAATTTCATTCGGATTGGAGAAGTGTAGCTGGATGATAACAAAGAGAGGGAAGGTAATCAGAACTCAGGAGATTGAACTACCAGAAAGGAAAATTGCAGATATCAAGGACTGCTACAAGTAGCTGGGAACAGCATCAGCAGGTCCATGCATGGCATGTACCACTGCCAGATACAAGAAGTGGCTGACATCGAGAAATCCTACCAGTTCCTGGACAAATGCAAGGCATAAAACTCCATAACCAAGTGGCTGGCATAGTATACAGGAACATGTGTGCCGTGTGTGGCCTGTAAGTCTCCATGTCAAAATGGGACACATTCCTTAGGGTGGTTAAGAATGACTGAACTAAGATCCTGTTGGACTTCCACAGACAGACAACAAACTGTTGGCTAACCGAGCAGTGGTGGACAAGCAGAGGAAAACGGCCACACTGATAGATGTAGGAAGAAGAAGAAACATGCAAAGTTTTAGAAGTACCAAGGGGTGAGACAGCTCAGCCGTTGGTACTAAGATATAGAGATATGGAGGGTAAAGGTAACAGTGGTCCCAGTTGGGACCAGCCCAGCCCAAAAGTGCCAAACTTAGCAAGTGTCTCCAGCAGATCCGAGGAGCAACATCTGAGATATCTGTCCAAAAGAGCACACACTGAGGAACATGTGATGCGCAGGACCCTCAATCTCCAGGGCCTCTGATAGAGGACTTGAGCTTGAAAGATAAAGACCGTCCATGAGAGGGTGTGTGTAGAGATAAAAACATCAATAACCACAGTCACCATAACATTTGATTTGTTTGTTATGTTGTTTTGACTTGTCAATTGTGACGCAATCACCATGTTGGGTTAGGCTAGCAACATTGTTACCAAGTATAAAACACAAACACCTACCTGCTACGTACCAGAACAATCAAGTGCCGCCTGAAATACCTCACCTAAGAGGTGTTCAAGAGACAGACCAAATGAAGTGCCCAAACCACCTCCTTCACTTGTAGAGGAGCAGCAGCTCTATTCTGAACTAGTCCTGAATCACTAAATTCCACCCACAGAGTCCACCCACACTACAGAGGAAACCCATTTGTGCCTCTTCTGTGCAAGATCTCCCCTTTTTGGTAAATGACCTCAGCTCCAGTGGGGAAGTGAGGGTAGGAATATATATCGCAGAGTAAGTCAACAGCTTCACTTTCCGCTCAGGGATCTCCTCACTACCAGACCGGCACAGCATTCGCACCACTTTTGGCTCTATCCATCTGTTAGTCTGTCCTGTTCCACTCTTTCCTCATTTGTAAACAACACCTTCCTCGACTGAGCAGAAACGTATTCCCAACCAAGA